TAAATGCATGTTAATATTTTCCAAATGTATTTATACTTCTAAAACATAAAAACACATAATTATACTTCTAAAAATGCATTTATTATTCTATAAACATATTTATACATTTTAAACCTTATATATAACCACAAAAACTTGTATATAAAAGAAATGACATTTAAAAAAAATATAAATACGATGTTTAATTAATCATTTTTGTGTATTAATACGATTTTTTTTGCATGAATACATATTATATGAAAAAAAATCATACTTAGGGTAAAAACATAAAGGATTTGTAAACTTCAAAGATTTTTTTTCGAATTTTATTTAATGTTAACCTAAAAACCTATGATAGGAGACATTGTTGTAAAAGCCCGACTAGGCCCCGATTAATCTTCAATTAGTCCCTAGGCACTAACCGGATGATTAGAAAACGTCTAACGATTAATTACTATCTAGACAATGAGTGAAGTTGTTGATCAAAGTTGGTTTCAAGAAGTTTTTTCTCAATAGAATCTACTTGAGAATGATTAGTTTTGCATTAATCATATTAATCAAATTTTTATTATATTTGTAGTATTTACAAAGATTTATATGATATTAGTCATTTTTAAGTTTTTAAAATATAACAAATTTACAATGTAGGGTTTCTGACTAGTCGCCGAATAATCTCCGACTAGACCGATTGATCTTAGTCGCTATTCGATCGACTTAGTACCGACTAGCAGCTTTTACAACCTTGGTAACAGGTAACAATGGAACAATTAAAAAAAACATGCAAAGTTTCTTTTTTAATGAACCAAAAAGTTAGGGTAAAACCTTAATTTTTTGAAAAGCTTAAAGGGACTTTATGTCAATATCCTTTCTTAACAACTAAGTCATGCCATTTAACTTTTACTCTTAAATTACACATTTGTTTATAATGGACCTTGAATCTTTTAACTAACACATATTTTCAAAATACGATGTTGATATCCATTTAAGGATAATGACTTAAAAGGGTAATATATTTTTTTTGTACACATTTAGTCATTGAACTTTTCTTTGTCTACATTTACCCCTTCAACTTGTTAAACTGTACACATTTAGTCCTTATGACCGGCTACAGGTTAGCCGGTAAAAATAACTTATTAGGGTAATATTTTTCTCACTTTATACACATTTAGTCCTTAATATTTTTGTATACATTTGGTCCTTAATATTTGTTTTTGTTGTTGCAAAATAAGTCATTTTTGTTTTTGTACTCATTCAATACTTATGAATGATTTCTTTAGGTTTTTCTCACGACATCTTACGTGGGATAACCATATGGTGGTAGGATAGGTTGAGGTGATCCTGCTATATGGTGTAGGTCAAGATACCTGGTGCGGACCGGCTGTAAGCTGTAGGCATGGAGGCTCGAGAAGAGCGGTTGGGTTAAGGCGGTATGCCGACAAACCCTGGGTATTCCAGTCCGATGACTGATTGGACCTGTTGCATGTTGGCATTCCAGTCCGATGACTGATTGGTCCAAGGTATTCCAATCTGATGAGTGTGGGCCCGTTATGCATGACAATACGTTTGCTGTATCGGGTATTTTGGGAGAAACTCACTAAACTTTGTGCTTACCCAGTTGTTAATGTTTTCAGGTTCTATCGTTGATTGTGGGAATGCGAAGACATGAATCTACACACTCATCAACAATATTGAGGATTCCACGTTTTTATATTACTCTGATTTTCGACAATATTTTGGAATAAACGTTTTTTCTTAATAATGAATTTATAATTAGAGACTTCTGCCTTATTTAAAAATGAAAATTTTTTGTTGTAAAAATGAGACGTTATACATAAACATTAACAACCCTATACATTTCATCAATGATTGTCCCACGTAAGATGTCGTGAGAAAAACCTAAAGAAATCATTCATAAGTATTGAATGAGTACAAAAACAAAAATGACTTATTTTGAAATAAAAAAATATTAAGGATTAAATGTGTACAAAAATATTAAGGACTAAATATGTACAAAATGTGAAATATATTACCCTATTAAGTCATTTTTCCCGGCTAACCTGGAGTAACAGGTCATAAGGACGGAATGTGTACAGTTTAACAAGTTGAAGGGGTAAATGTGGACGAAAAAAAACTGAGTGACCAAATGTTTACAAATCGAAAAATATATTACCCTTTTAAGTCATTATCCAATCCATTTATTATGAGACATATTAAATTTACACATTTTTAGACATATTGATAGTATGAGATTGAATAACTAGTTTATGTTAAGATTGAAATTTTCAAGCAAATTTCAATCTTTCACTTGACAAATTATTTGTAAAAATTATTGTTATTTAATAATAATATTTCATTTATATTATTTTGTGTGGAGTTGTACTTTTTTTAAAACTTGAAAAATTGTTAGAACTTTTAAATTTTTTCTGAACAATTATTGGAGTACGTTCATATAAGTTTTTATTTAGTTTTTGAATTTATAAATGGTGAATTTAGTCACTACTTGTTTATTAAAAAAACTAAGTTGTATCGAAGATTCTTAACCCATATATTTTTTCTAAAATAGATTGTGTTGAAAATTCTAATATTTTAATGAAAAAGATCAATACGATTATTGTCGCCCGTGTCATACATGGGTAGATTAACATACTCAATAGGGGCTTCGCAAAGTATAGTGAAACTGTTGATTGTTTTGTTAGACTAATTTGGAGATTGCAAGTTCAAGACTTAGGACCCAAATCATAAACTATTACACTTTCGGTAAACATCACAATTCTTAGCAGCCCGAGTTCTTGAATTTATCATTAAGAAGATCTAAGGAGATCCATATAATAATTTTCAACTTATGATTTGTAGCTATATCTCAAACAATATAAGATCACAAATGAATGGGGTGAACAAAGACAATGTAACGGGCTAATCCGGGTCTCTGACACACAAACAAAACAATTAATGGGCTAGTGATATAACAACATAACAATGTTGTAATGGGCTAAACCAGTTCTTGAAGCAGCCCAAAACTGGTAATCCGAATATGGTCCCATTTTTGGTCTAAGTTTTCAAGTAATCCCGTTTTTCGGATTTTGTCCGAGTCCGATCGGGGTCGTGTCCGATTCGTTGCTCACCCAAAGACATTGTATTCTAGTGGGGTATATACTAGTGGGGTACCTACGAATGCGGAAGACACTGTATTCTATGAGAAATAGTTTCGCTTTAATGATTAGGGTTTAGGGTTTGGGATGAGGTGATGTTTTAAGTTAAAAAGACAAAAACATTTTATTTTTTTTGGTTAAAATAAAAAATATGTTGTTTCTTTGAAAACTTATCATACTCAAAAGAACATGCAATGCTGTTAGTTGTTGGTAGTGCGTTGTATTCGGTGTGTAGTCATAGATGGACTATGACATCAAAATGCCCACCGTCTATGTCTTAGGTAAGATCCTGGAGTATGATTTATATGAGGTTTCAGCGTTATATCCTTAGTGATTAATGATATACATTGAACTATAGTATAATATGTCGTAAAAGTTACATAACGGCCAAAATAAACAAAAAAGTAGCTAAATTATTTTATATTTTATTATTTAACCATAAAAGTCAGAAAAAAAATGATGATAGAAGGGAGGACCACGTGTGGGGGTGCGACAACGTAAGATGAGCATTCAGCATAAGGGCAGTGGAAGATACATTTGAAATGTACACAAATAGATTATGTTTCCTTGATTTTTTTATAAGATAATAAAACTCAAAATTCGATGTAATTTACTTCGAAAGAATGATTGTTTCATTTTGCAATTGTTATTTGATTAGTCTTGTTGTTTGATGTGTGTACATAAACAAACATCCTTTCTATGTATAAAATACATAAAAAGTTCATAAATTTTTAAAGCCGGTAATGGAAACGGTTGGGATATTAGAAACCGATTTCGTTGGTCTTTTTTTTTTTTTTTTTTTCTGTTTGAGGAAATTATTCGAATGGTCATTGTGAATTGGAAAAACTTACATGTTTGGTAAATAACTTTTTTTCTTAATTGGAACCATCTCCAAAAGTTTATTTTGTTGCATATTTCATTCTTACTTTTAACATTGTTTAGTTTTAACCATTGTGAAATTAAAGACATAATGCTAAGTGTTCTATTATAACTAAAGAACAATTTTAATCGAGCTACTAATGTTTTTTTAATTTTCTTTTTATTACTAAAACCAATTCCATACCCAAAATAATAATTCCATGTCCGAAATAATTCGATGTTCGTTAAAATCAGTAAAAAAGAAAATTTAACATCTGATCCATAACAAATTCAAATAGTCTCATTAAACTATACGATTATATCCAAATAATGAACGATCCAAATGCATGAAAATTCACACATTAATCGAGCTACTAATGTTTTTTTCTTCAAATAAATCGTTCATCGGCTGATAATGATGTCTTTATGCGGCCCTTTCCTTCACAAACAAGCAAATGGAAGAAGTGTCTGTCGGCTGAGTGGGCGTATGAGTAACTAAGAAGCAAATCAACTCAATGGTCACCAAAAACGTGTGGGATTTAAATACAACCTTCCATCGGATAAGAACATTTGACCATTTTCACAAAGTCAAACTTTGGCCAAAAAGCATGCGTATATCAACCGGCTGTACAACTAACACAAACTTCTATATAAACTTCAACTACAAGTAATCGACAATATCAAAAATAAAAAAACATAACCAATGATTCTCCAACTAAATAGACTAAGATTCTCCCACCATAATAACCACCACCGCATGTCGGAAGTATCTTTATCACCTCTGCAAGCTTTCCGGTCCATTGTCACCGGAAACCTACACAGAGTACTGGAAAGTCAGAAACTTGGATCGGAGTTCTTGTCCTTCAAATGGATCCACCAATGTTTTCAGGTGTTACCCATATTGAACAACGAGTTTGCTAAACTGATGGCGGAGATAGATTATCCAGTGAGCAGTTGGGAAGCTGGCTCCATTGACGAGTATCTTGATTACACTATGAACTTGTTGGAACTCCTGAACGCGATTAATTCTTCTATTTCTCATCTTAATCAAGCTCGTGTGTCACTCTCACATGCTTTGAGCCTTATGGAAAGCTCCCCGGCTATGGGTGTGGAACGGATGAGAGAGATTACATTGCATGATTCCATCAAGGGATTTAAAGGTAGTGTAGGGGATGAAGAAAGGAATCGGAAAGGGAAAGAAAGGATCTTTCATGAAGCTATTTTGGTAATGAAAGGTACTGCTTTTTGGATTTGTGGGGTTGTGTTATCTGGATTAAGGAGTGATACTTGGCCGCTTATGGAGATTATGGAAAGTGGGGTGGTGGTGGATTGTTCCTTGATGCCTCTTGAATATTCCATCTTTAGGAATAAGATCACTGAGAAAAGGGGATTGGTAAAGGAAGTGGAAGATGTGAATGAGACTGTGCGTATGATTGTATCCAAGGGAATTGGTGATTTTGATGTTGCGATGGAGTTGAAGAGAAGATTGGAGATGGTTAGAAATGGATTGAAGGGTTTAAAAGAAGAAGAAGAAGGTTTATTTGCAGATGTTATGGCTGCTAGGAATGAAGTGCTTGAGACACTTAGAAGGAAAAATAAATAATTACCAATTACAATATTTTTTTGTATATAACAAACGTAAAATCGTGTAGACAAAATAGTGTTGTAATATCTTTATTTCATGTTTTCAAAAAGAATTATAATTGTTTTAGGTTTAAGTGGCATCACGCCAATGAAATTTAGGAAGTTGCTATTCCCTGTAATTTGTATTCAACTTTGCTTTAAATTTGCTTATGATGTGATATTAATTCACCGATATTCTCTCATGTATCAAAGTCGGTAATAGGCAATGTCTTAGTTCACTGTCTTTTGAACTTGAACAATTCAGGCCTTACTTGTTGCATGTAACCATAGTAGTAGACCGAATGCTTCTGCAGTTCCAAATACGGGTTAAAATCGTTTAACCATTTTTATCATCAATCAATGAAATATTCATTTTGCCTAATTAGGACAATTAACGGCTACCTTTTTTTTTGCTTTAGTTGATAAGTGGTGGTTCCTTTTTGCTTACCCCTTTCTTTTACTAACCGAAAGTATTAGCTATTGTATCCAATTTTTCGTAAACATTCAAATCTTATAAATATTAACATAAAAATCTTATTCTTTATGACTTAATATAACTATCTAGAGTTCGATTTACCAATTACTATATAGAGAAAGTTTTGGCTAGCAGGAGTGAGGGTGGTTTGAATGTCGGTAGCCTTTTTTGCATTCAATATGGTTATGCTTTACAAATGGAGATGGAGATTCTTTCATAACTCAGATGTGTCATAGGTTAGGGTGGTTAAGAGATGTGGGAATCTTAGTCCTTCGACGATTTGTAAAGGTCCCTAGAATGGTGTGATTCATTATTTAGCTCAGCTTCATGTTAGAGGTTTTGATCTACATGAGTTTTGTCCTATTCGTCTAGGCAACATGAACATGGAGCGAGGCTACTTACTTTTAGCAGGATATCTGGAATGGGGATCGCCCTTTGTCTTTATTTTTTCATGGGATTTTTTCTTTGGACATGTATATGGAGGTTTTGGTTAAAAACGCAGTGGATATAGGTTGTTCATTTAGCACTCTTAGACGATCTTTGAGGGCAGGGGTTGAGTATGAATAATGAAGTGAGTTCTTAGTTCATATTCAAGAATTTTCTTTTGCTGATTGAGCAGAGAGTCTTGGTTTGAGGGATTCGGACACACCTTCGGGGGTGTCTGGACTCAAACCGAGGGTTTGAGAAATTTTTACAATGAAAACAAATTTTCTAAAAATTAAAATTAAGGGTTTTGGGAAAGAACAAGGAGTATGATGCGTGCAATCGGCCGAGCTCAAGTAAGTTTTCCCCAAGATACCCATACATGTTTGTTATGATATATGATATGATTATGAGAACTGCATGCTAGATTAGGGCTAAGGATCTAGGAAGGATGCCTTGTATGTCTACTGTATGTGCTTGTTGAACTGCATGCTAGATTAGGGCTAAGTATTTAGGAAGGATACCTTGTATGCCTACTGAATGTGCTTATAGAACTGCATGATAGTACTGATTAGTTAGTGATATGATGACCTGATTAGGATATGCTTGGTTTTGGTTACTCAATGCCCAAATGCTGCTTGCTTTGTGCTTTTAGGAGTCCTAGTTATCTTTAATTAACTAGTAAACAAATACGTTAAGTTACATATTACGAGGACTAAATAATTTCAGAAGGTTAGGTCTCGCCCTATTTCGCAGCTCTTGTCTGAGTCCAACCGTTGTAGGGTAGGACCTCTCATTTGAAGAATTATCTGGTCTTAGTAATATGTAATGGTATTCGTGAGCTAGTTAGGGAGAGATAACAAGGACTTCTTATGCAGCTGAAGGCGGAAATTAGGTCGGAGATTACCCTAGGGAAAGCCTAGGATATGCTGCAGTGGGTTAATAGTATGGTTTAGTGAGTACTGGCATAATGGTTTAGAGAAGTGACTTAGAGGATTCAGGAGGATTGCTGAGGAAACTATGGATAGGTGTGGAAGGTAGTATTGGGCCCGTACTACTGAAAGCACAGGATCCATACTCGAATCGGTAAGAGTCTCGGAGAATCTAAGAAGCTTAGGGGAGGAGAATTCTTGGTTATGTTCTGATCGCTAGGATAGTTGCTTATCAGGATGATGATGAGCACGCATGGAGGTGGTTCAGGATTAGGTCTCAGCTCAGATGGTGAGCCAGTCGGTGGGAGGACTGCCAGGATTTTGAGTTCGCGTTGGATTGAAGGGATGGAAGGTGTTTTCCGCACTAGTCCCAACCCCATCGGAGACAAGGTTTGGTTCGTCTTGGATCTCATGTATGAGGCGGCAAGGAGTTGTTGGGAATTAATTGTGCGATCTACTACGTTTTCTGATTTGGAGACTATGTCTTGGGAGGAGTTTGTTGTCACACCCCCAAACCGAGATGGCGGAAACATTCGGGGGGTAGAGGACGTCATGTACAATATCATAACAATGCACAATAGTAAAAGAAGCAACAACATCCATTGCATTAATAATATAGTTTATACATGTGCGTTCTTTGTATAGTTGTATGAAACCAAAAATGTATATAAAAAATAAAAGACGAGTCTTGAACGTGCTCCATCTCCTCAAAAACCTGCATGAGTGTACCTGTCTAATGGTTCCCTTAGAATACAAGTTATTTTGAAAAGAGAGTATCAATATTTAAGTTGGTGAGTTCATAAGCATTTAGTATTTGATGTTTGTACTTGTTCCGTGAAAATGATAGTATGTTCCCCAGAAAATCCCATATTTTCTCTATTTAAATGAAAAGCAGTCTTAGGCCTTAAGACCAAAATGTTTTGTATGTTATTGTACTCTGAAATAGTGTGAGTGTGTGTGTTTTCCATAAATGTATGTTTCTTTGATAGAAAATAGTGTACTGCACTAGTATGAACTCCATAATGTATTAGTACTTGGAAAATAGTGGTAGGTAGTCTTATTACTTAAAATAAAACCACTGAAAAATGTTTGTTTTGTAAACCGAAGTGGTTAGTTAATGCTTAATGTGAATGAGATTATAACCATACTTAATTGACTAGTATTCTACACGACGTTCTTCAGGCGTCAAAAAGTTATGTGACCCGTAGACCTTCCGGTCCCAATTGTAGCTAACAGCCAAGGTCCGGGATTGTCAGTCCCGTATAGATCTTGTCACACCCCCAAACCAAGGATGGCAGAAACGTCCGGGGGTGGAGGACTTCATGTATAGTATCATAAC